AAAAAAAAAAAAAAAAAAAAAAAAAAAAAAAAAAAAATCGAGAGAAGAAATCAGATGCATCTTCATTGACTCCTCGGTCAGAGAACACACACCCTCTGAGACTCGTGTTGGAAAGCCATGGACATAGCGTGTAGGGTAAAGATTATTCCATATATTAGAAAGAACTCTGGAGAGGACTCCTCTGATTTCATCAAATGTCACCAAGTACAAGTAACCCCTGGAGAGAAAGCACTAATATTTTTAAAAATGTCATTTTCTACTTAAGCCTGACCTCTCAGAACACTAAGCAGGAAAGTAACTGACCTGAGGAGGGGGATTGTGTGCCCAAATGCTATCTAAATCTCTCCCAGCTTCACAGCTGGTCCAATAAAAGATATTGCCCACAGAAATCCTTGCCTCTCACAAATGTAAAAATATCACATTCTTACTCAGAAAGTTAGCTCTTTGCATGCATTCTGGTGACTTCAGGAATAACAGGAAAGAACTGCATTTCACTCACAGGCACTAAAGGACTGCATCCTCAGTGTAAAGTGTGCTCAGGTATACTGAACACTTAACAGAAGAGCAGATTACCAAACACTCACTTGACTACATAGTAGATCTCCAGGCAGATGATTTTCATGATTAAGGCACAGGTGTCCAAGACACTGAGCTACAAAGAGGGAATAAAAGCAGAGCATGAGCAGGTTACTCATAGCTCCAGGTCAGATCATGCCAGACATTCCAAGTCCTGTCCAGCAAGAGCAGAGTTTAGGACTATGAAATTCAGAGTTCTCCTTCAGGCAAGAACACTGATGCTGTGCAAGCAACCCAGATCTCCTGCTATATTTGGACATTCAAGCATTATATCAACAGGGCTAAAGTTCCTCCCTCTCTTGGGCAGAGGGAGAAACATAAGGAAGACTTAAGACTTGTGCCTGCTCAATCCTTCCAAAAAGGATGACGGAATCACAGCTGTACAGAACTGTCCCTCCCAGGAGAAGGACAAGGCCATTAGGGAGGCATGATGATAGAATGGTTTTGTGAAGGAGCAGCTGCCTCACCAGACAGCAGTTCATCTCTTCTCCCAATAAGGGAAGAGAGCCTTGTTGAAATCTGCACTGCAGTTAGATGAAGGATTAGTATTTCCCCAGAGAAGACAGAAGTTCCCAAGATGGAAAGATGGCAAAATCCTCAGGACACCACCATGCTGCTAATCTGGCTGAGGAGAGAAGAGATTGCTCTAGGTATACACTATCCTTCCACATTTGCGGCGTACTAGTTCTTTACAAGCCAGTAAAGAATGAAAGCCTCATCCCTCTGTTGGGGTAGATGTTATCTCAATTTTACAGACAGGGAAGGAGAGGCAGAAGTTTTAGGAAACTTTTTCTAAGGTTACACAGCTAGCCTTCACAAAGGAGTTGAAAACAAACCCTAGGACTCACTTCTCCTATCTATCCTTAACCAACTTATCAAACTCCCTTTTAAGGAGGAAAGCCACATAAACTACTCACTTCCACTTAGATAAACACAGTTACCTTTAAGTCCTTATAAACACCTCACCTCTGATGTTTCTGAAGGGGGAGCAAGGATCCCAAACAGGGGGTTGGTTAAATTTTCCCAAAACTTGGGCCTGAAAATAGAACACAAGCAAAAATAGTGTAAGTTGATCTGTTTTGCCTCTGCAAAAGGCTTAACTTCAATAGCCTGACCTGGCCAGCCTTTAAGTGTAATCTCCACTGCCTGAAAAATGTGGCATTTCACATACTGTATATATAATTACATTCACACACTGTACTTTGTTTTAAGGTGGTTATTTCTGAAGATAAACAGATGTCTGGAGTTTCAGTGACAGGGCAAAGAGAAAGCTCCACATAAAAACTTCACAGTCAAAAACAGTATAGAAAAGTAAAGACTCACTTGGTCCGCAGAACAAGCATAGCACTGTCCCGACGGTCCTGCCACAGAGCGTGTAGGAACGCAATGGCAGCACGGTGCAAGAGGGGAGGGCACCAATATCTTTCCTGCTGCTTAGAGTCTATCAGCTCCAGGACCACCTGGAGGCAACTCCATTCCCCCAAGCTGAATTCCTAAAGCAAAGGGGGGGAAAGTAATAAGGTTATCTATATATAACCAAATACAGACATCTTCTGTTTCAGTGTGAGACTCAGTTCCATCTAAGTAATACAAAGGGAAGCAAACCTTGACCACAAGCGTTTGATGTGTATGCAATACAAAATGCTTATAAAGAATTTATAAAACGTTGAGGAAAGGAATCAACTCTTTTCAGAAGTGCAAGATGAACTTACAGAGCTGAAAAAAAGAAACTGAATAATGTTACTATTACCAAGTCTGAGTAAAGACAAGTCTTGGGTAATGCAGAAAGATGCTCCTTTGGTTAAACCAGGTTACAGTGATACTGGGGGTATAACTTAGATGCCAGAAATGTCCTTGTATTACATGTGCACACTGCATTTATCTTATGCATATCAGACAAAATTTAAACTGAATCAAAAATTTAATTAAACACATGTGGAAACTTGTACAGACTGAACTGACTGAAAAAAAACAATAACCCTACACGCAGACAAACAACTGGTATTGTACCTTTGACCCATCATCCCCATCTTTCACTTCCAGGTTCAGGAACAACTCAATAAGCCCAGGTTGCGTCTCTACAGCAACTGTGAGGAATTCCAAGATCATGACTTTAATGCGCATGTCCTCAATCTTACTCTGAAGACGAGTCAGGAAAGCATCACGGATAGCAGCAGCATCACTGCCAAGGCAGGCATACACAGACATAGGAGCAACCTGCAAAAGGGAACAGATGCTGGGAAATGAAAATCATTTAACTCTGTGGTGCTTCTTTTCAATATGAATGAGGCCTGTAGTTTGCTATTTGAAGTGAAAATCAAGAACACTCATCTTTGAGTGAAGAAGTCAAGACATAGTTTTGATCCTAATGAAATGTGGAAGACTATTAAATTTTTCCAAGTTCTGGTCACCTCTTTAGAATTCTGCCCCTTGCCTATTTCATCAATAGAAGAAACATGAAGGAGAGAGACAGAAAACTAGGAAGATTTAGGTTGATACTCTTTGAAAAAAAATACTCCCCAAACTGCAGCATTCTAAGCATTTCTGTAAAACCTAGACAAGTTTCCAAACTTAACAGGTAAAATTAAGGGGCTCTTGAAAAGTTTTAATACAGGATTCCTCTTCTGGACATGACTATAAAGCTCAAAGTGAGACGGATTACAAGTTGTATCTAAGGATTTGTCTACAAAGGGAAATAAGTTGGTTAAAAGTTCCCCCTCCTCTCTAGAAGTTCTCATGCAGTTGCAGAGCAGCCTTAGATCACTGTAGCAAGGAGGACAAAGCTATTGCAGTCCACACCTGAATGAGAAGCCTCCACATGAGAGGTTTAACTCTCTCTATTTGGGGCATGCTGAGCTCCCACCTTCAGTGCCTTATGTTTCTTAAGTGTCTCTACATGGTCAAGTCCTAAGGGGGTTGCTGGACAGACAGTTTCAGTAATAGAATTAGCAAAGAAAGTATATGAAAACTCTTGTGAGAGACTGATCTTACCGTAGCCAATCGTTTAAGCAGCTGGATGGCAAGGCGTGGTAGTGCTGGGTCATGCCTGTGGTAGATGTATTTGGCCAAGACAGCAATCAAATTGTTCCCATGAGCACCTGGGAGAACATAAGTAAAGTTACAGGGGAGAAGTTGGAATTACACTGAGTCTACTTTAAGGGCTCTCCTCAAGACTGCAATTATTTACTGTGCAGTAATTTTCTATACTGGAAAGGAAGGAGAGTTGCAGGGAATGAATTCAACCTTCTGACAAATCAAGGGAGAAATCCAGATACTGACAGCATCTACTGAATCTCTTTCAGCCCTTTTCTTGTTAGAACACAAAAGGAATGAAAGTAACACTACCAGCTCATCTTAAAGAAGACCTAGTAGGTCAACAAGTATTAGCATTCAGGGTCCACTCGCTGCAGCAAAAACATTAATGTCTGGAAGACCATCATGGCTAAGCGGGGAGCAAGAGAAAACCCATCCTGGTCCTCTCTCAAAAGTGGGCCCACCATTATATGATCAGCCCTTAATAGCATAAGAAGAAGTTATATAGGGAAATAGACATGCTAGTAAATAATCCCGTGATGCAGATTAGGCTAACATCCTTAGTCTAATTCTTTGAGTCTGTGTTGGAAGAGGAGAGTGCCCTTACTCTTCTGGTGCACAGGATGAAAACAGCACTACTTGGAAAAGTCAAACACAATTTCAAGAAGTTACAAGTTAATCAGAAATAAGAAACAAGCACTGCTTCCCAGACTGACCAACAAGGAAGTACATACCATGCTGTGTGAGAGCCTGTTCAAGTGGGGATACCACACTAGAAGGAGGTTTCAACCGGATGACATTATTAGTGACTGAGAATGCCAACTTAACCGTCTGGATCAGCAGCTGGCCCTGGCCCAGTGACTCATCACTGTGTTGCCAAAAAAAAGTCAAGGTAAATAAGTCAAAATCAGCTCTGATGCCCTCACTATTTGTACAATACTCAAATCTGCATATTTAGGAACATGAAGTCCTACCAAACTAGGGTACAGGCTATAGAAGGATTGTATTCACGCCTACATATTATGTGAGCACTGAAATATAAAATTCCAAGAATACAGTATATACACAAGACCAGTCCTGAATTTAACAGCAGCATAATAAAAGAGTGTCATACCCTTTGTGCTGTGTAAGAAAACAATTCCTTGGGGAAGTGAGACTTTCGTGTATGTCTTTGGGTCTACCAGCATAAACTGTAACTATATAGAGACTCATATACGAGTCATAGCTTCTCTCTGGAAGAACTATCTTCAGTTATACTTGAGAAGCTGCCTCGGCTATAAGGAAATGTGAAGCCTATTTTAAGCGGAAATATGAGATATGGTAAAACCTCTAGCCTAAGTCTGAGACTCAATGAAAAGGCAATGTTTGTCCAAAAAAGGTGTGAGATGCTTCTGCCTGCTCTTTATTAGGTGAGAGGTCTCATATCATGTTAGATGTTTTGCAATACATAGTTTAGCGCATAGTTTTTTGGAGGGAATGAGTAACCTATATAACAAAGGAGAAAACTGAATGAGAAGAATGATGGTAAAGAGAAACAACAGGCAGCAGGGGAGGGGGTGCATTGCCTGGGGAAAGAGTTTGGGCTGCTGCAGGAAACTTTACTTTCTATGCATTTACTTCTGAGTATTTAATAATTTTTTCTAACAATGAATTTATGAAAGCTGAAACCTCTGGTAGCCCATAGCACAGGTTATCATAGTGAGTGCAATATTAGAAGCCTCTTGAAAATGGCATGCTCATGGAGATATGAAATCTGCTATATCAATAGATGCTGATGGATCTATGAGACCTCTAGCTATGGTACAGCTTTCCAGTTGGAAAGGGGAAATTTTCAGCATTATTTTTACAGAGGTATTAGAAGAAATACATAGTGACCTGCTATTCTTTCTCCACCAGAGCCAGCTAACTAGCCTGGCTGCTTGTGTGTATGTGCCAGAATGGGGTGGCTACAGTAAGGTAAGAAGGTGAGGAGAAAAACAGCCATAACTGGGACAGAGTCATCCAGAATTCAGAGTGGGAGTTTTGGAAGGAAGGTCACCCAGAGCTTTAGGTGTTAGGCTGGACAGGTCTCTATAGGAAAGGTTCAGTATCCCTCATCTGAACCACTGGTTTCAAAGCTGCTCATGCTGAGAGCAACAGTCCCTACTCTCTAGTGTCTATGAGAATTTACTTAAAACCCCTACCTAAAGTTAGCATCCTGTGGGCACAGCTTGTAAGTTCCTAGAACACAAGACATTTCCTTCTCATGAAACTTAACTCTACAGACATGAAATGTGACTGATAACTTCCACAAAAAGCTTTAAAACGCTCAAGAAGTCCAATCTGTCCCAAATATAAGTTTTTCCGAACGGCTTGCTAAAGCAGTCCTATGTATCAACCCTGTCTGAGAACTAGCGTATAAAACAAATGCAAAGTTTTCAGAGTAAGCCACTTTTCAGTTACCATAAAACAAGACAATCCTAACAATTTTAAACTCCTACTTCTATTTCTTCAAAGTCCCTTTAACTACAAAGCTATTTCACTAACCACAAACTTTCGTAAAAGTCTGCCATATACAGATACTGCAGAAAAGAAAAAAGTCAAGCAGAAAGGAAGTTTTGCAGAAAGACGAAGTCAGATGGTAACTGCTACAATCCAAACAATGAAATTACTACTGTGGCTACATAAATCCATGAAAAGAAAGGGGCAATTCATAACTAAAACTTACACACTATCCTTACCTCTCTCAACTCACACTTTCCGTAGCCCACACCAAGGCCTTATACAACCCCAAACTGTGCATAACCCTACTTATTAAAAGGGTGGCAATATACGGGGGCACCCTTTAAGTTTCCACCTTAAATCAAACACTAATACTTAGCATACATTCTTTTTTCTTGGCTTGCTTAGCATTAGGACTTACTTCCACAAATCTGCAATGACTGTAGTTCCCTTGAAATTCTCCAATGAGTGAGTGCAACTGTTGGACCAAACAAGTAAAATAAATCTAAAATTTCTAAGATGATCATACTACTTCATTTTTATAGAAGCAAGCCACAGCAGCATGAAACTGGGAAAGACACACACCTCCAGCACCATTCAAGGACTAATGTATATAAAAGCATGAATATCAAAGAGTTTAAGATGTATTTGGCATAGATCAAAAAGCAAAGCTCTGAACTACATAATGTATTGCAACTGCTCATGCATACTACATATGCTACCAATTTCATTCATACTACATTTGGTAGTGTCTTAAGGTAAATGACCAAGTAAATGATGGTCATTATAAGAGGAGAAAAGTAGGGGAAGTTCTTATATGAAACACTAGAACAGGGGTGAGCAACCCCCGGCACATATGCCGAGTGTGGCACACAAGGCCATTTTCCTCGGCAAGTGTTGCGGTTGGGGAGACAGCAGCTGTTTACAACCTTCCGGCTGTAGCCAGCCCCAGCTCTGGGTAGCTGCTGCCAGCCGGGAGCCCAGGCTGCTCCCAACAGGCAGCTGGGACACTGCAAGCAGCCCAGGTTCCATGGCTATCAGCAGCTACCCAGAACCTGGGCCAGCTGCAAACATTTGCTGCCTCTCTGCCCCAGCCCCGACCACAGCTTGCTCCCAGCCCCAAGACCTGGCCCTGGGGAGACAGCACATACCAGCAGTGCTCCCCGCTGTGCTGCCCTCACTGCTTCTGCAAAGCAGTGCTGGAACCCAGCACAGCAGGGGACGCAGAACGCTGCCTGCTCCCAGCTCCCCGCTGCCCTGCCACACTTCCCCTGCAGGCAGGGGCAGCAGCAAGGGGCACAACCCCGCACTGCTGCCCACACTGCTCCCGTGCACGCAGAGGAAGGGTGACAGGGCAGGAGGGAGCTGGGAGCAGGCAGCTTTCTGCACCCCCCGCTATGCCCTGCTGCGCCAGGTTCCAACACTGTTTTGCAGAAGCGGCGAGGGCAGCACAGCGGGGAGCACTGCTGGTATGTGCTGCCTCCCCGGAGCCGGGTCTGGGAGGCAGCTGGGGCCAGGGCTGAGAGGCAGCTGTTGTTTGCAGCTAGCCTAGGTTCTGGGTAGCTGCTGTCAGCCACAGAGCCCAGGCTGGGGGGCAGGGGCTTTGGGTGGGGAGCAAGGGGCAACAGGGATGGGGGACAGCAAGGTCTTTAGGTGGGAGGCAAGGGTCAGCAGGGTTGGGGGGCAAGGGTCATGAGCAGAGCATCCTGCCATGTACTGCCGGCACTCCGTTGTTTTTCTCGTGTGCCGGCACTCCGTTGTTTTTCTCGTGTGCCGGCACTCCGGTACCTTCCAAGGTAAGCATTGTGGGGGTTTTCGGCACTCCAGCCAAAAAGCGTTGCCTACCCCTGCACTAAAAACGCTATAATGTTCTTAAGGAACTAGTTTGGCTATACCAGGGATGCTCAACCCCAGCCCGTAGGCCAGATCTAGCCTGCAGAACCATGGCATCCAGCCCACAGGGCCCTTCACAGGTCGTGGAAATTTACAGCAGGGTAATGGTGGCAATACTGACTACCAAATTACCAAACCCCATACAGCTGGATCACAGCTGGGCCATTGCCATGCAGCCAAATCAAGCCAAGGACATGCCCCCACCCTCTCAAATAACTGAATTAGGGCAAGGCTGTCTCCTCCTACCCTCTCCCCACTCCCCCAGTTCTGTCAGGGTCAGGTCACTCCTCCTCCACAGCCTGGATCAGGGCCAGGCCATGCCCTTGACACCCACCCCCCTCTGCCAGAAACCTGCCTTGCAGATCAGGCCCATTGGCTAGATCAAGCCTGCGATGAAGTGGGTACCCACCCGTCTAGCCCATAGGTAAAAAGTTGGGCACCTCCTGGCTAAACCCAATGTGGCTAGGAGGCAATAACCAATAGGCAACAAAAAGATGGTGAAGGTAACACCATCTGTACTATACAGCTACTGTAAAATATTAAAGTGTAATTATGTCAAGAGTCAAAGAGAAATCAAAGGTTTCTCACAACTGAGGTCTGAGTAACACTGGTGACCCAGGAAGCATTTGCTAGCAGTCCATGAAGAGATGGCAAGCCACACAATATTGGCTTTCTTCCACACTTCCAAACGTTCAAAGAAAAGGAGGAATAGGCAGCAAAACATATATACAGGAAAACGGATAGAAAAGAAAGACAAAGAGCCAAAGAAAACACTGCACTGCTACAAAACTGACTGTATAGACCATGCCAGCTGCAATGCTTAGTACTTTCCTAATGCTACTTTTCCACGCAAAAAACTGCTGTATTCACTAGTGAGATTTTTATGCTGTCATGAGCAGGAGGGGACAGGTCCCACAAGCTCACAGATAAAGGGGGACAGATCAATCACCCTCTCCCATTGTATTATGATCCACATTAACTTTTGAAAACCTCTGCTGCAGTTGTGTATCACAAGACCTCAGGAGTTGCATAACCCTAATTTCAATATTTCTACTTAATCCCATAGCATTTTAAGATCCCTCTTTACTCAGCAAACTTAAGTGTCAAAAGTGCTAATAGTCCCAAAGGACAGAGGATCTTGTTGGGTTTCACAACACAAAATTACTTTCATACCAATAAAGGAATTTAGCCACCAGAGAAGTCTCCACAAGTAAGTGTCCAGAATTCACCCTAAGTCTTCAAGGAATCATGAGGCTTTGTAATAATCCATTCATAGTAATGGATCATACTGAACTGAGATGTTATTTGAAGATACAGAAATTGTAACTTTTGCTATAGTGTTCCCACCTTCTAATTCATTTGGTCTTTTTACATGGTGAACTTAAATGATTTATTTGAGTAAGTACTAATGCCAGCAAGCATGAATCAAGCATTCCCACATCTCATTTACATGCTGCATCTATCAGTTAGATTAAGCACTATCAGAAGCAAGAAAGCTACTGTGGGTAACACCTATCAGAAAAGAAAGAAGTGCATAATCATTAGCGGATTCTTGGCAATTCCGCCAAAATGCTGATCAGTCAAAGGTTGCCATGACTGGCTGCTATGTGTGTCCCCCCAGCAATATCAAATCATTTACACACACACTGCAAATTTGATTTGTCCCTTCTTTCTTCATGCTACTAGAATGGAACAGGTGACTTACCTACTGGACTGTGAGGCCATTACCATATCAATGGTGTCCACACCAATGCCCATGATGTTAATGACAGCCTGCCCTGCTTCTGTGTTAGCCAGGCTGAAAATGCATAAAGACTGAAGGCTGGGGGCACTGCTGCAAGGTAGAACAACACAGCCATGAGGCAGCAATCGTAGAAAAAAGTTATTTGCCAGATTCAATACACCTGCCAAGGTGCATCATAGTCAATACCAACCCCAAAACAAGATCACATTAGAAACTCCTTAGATGGTCTTATCCATTAATTTAGCACCAAGTAAGCTAACCCAAAGTAACTTTTACAAGTTCCCATGCCTTCAATCACCTCTAGTTTCTCCTACTTCAGTGCATCTGGTAGAAATCTCAGAATGGGCACAACTACCAGAGAGAATACAGACTGCCCTGGAATATATACATCAGTAGCAGACTAAGCTAAGATCCCTCTACTGATTTCCCTTCTTTTATCAGACTCTTTGAAGAACAGCACTGTTTAGCGTTCCCCTGGCCTTTGCACATTTCCCTGGGTTCAGTTTAAAGCAAGGTAAACAAGAGCTGTTAAGAAACACAATATAATCACATCAACTGATTCTCCTTAATTCACATTCCAAGCTGGGAACAAAAAGACTATGACAAAGGTGTTTTATCCTGCAATCAGAGTTAGCACATATAAAATAATGTCTGAAATTCACTGTACACTTACCTGCTATGAGGATCCATTTCAGGGCACAAATTCAAAATAGCATGGATCAGCTGCAGGATCAGACACCCTGAAACACAAGAACAAGCTGCTCAGTAGTCACTAGTAGTAGATATGGAATTCACAGTATCTTCCAAAGGTTGCAAAGCTACGTGCAATATTATAGTAAAGAGCATACATCTAAATACTCACTGAGATGCCGTCTTAAAATAAAGTTAAAAAAAAACACCAGCGAAAAAGACACATTCTCTCTGAAGAAAGAGTTCAGCTCTGCTTCATTTGCAAAGCTATCCTTACCAATTCGCTCTCTCACTCCATGGGAGTTATAGCGCCATTTGTGGTAGTTTGGCAGCATCTCCTTCAATACAAACACGATACATGGCATCAGCCCTTGGCTCTGTGTGCTGCCAAGCTGTCCCTAGAGGAGACAAAACCATTACATCTTAGTTCCAAAGGCATGATTTTTTTTTTATGAGTGTTTTCAATCCCTCACACTCCCAGGATGGAAATAGACATTAGAAGAATTCTGTGCAAAAAACTAAGGGGACAGAAGTTTGTTCAGCAATTTTTGTTCTTTAGCACTCAAAACAAGTGAAGTTTAGATGCATTATGGAGGTAAATACAATTGCACCTCTGGAAAAGGCTCAAGCTTTCCCCTTTGGCTTACCCAAATGCAGGCTCTCCAGCATGAAAAGGTGTGTGTTCCCACCCCACAGGAGAACCTCATACATTCTGGTATGTGCTTTTATCTTATTTTCTGCACTGCCAGCTAACAGGAGCTAACAGGATGACTTTACATGTAGAATTGCTGGAGAATCACTTACACGGACAAGAGTAGTGATCAAGTGTAGAAAGGAGATGGTGACACAGTACTCGCCCTGAGGCTGTTCTATACTCATCAACAGGTTGCCATAACCTCCTGCATTCATTCCCTCAGCACTGTGGAAAAAGAGAGATGTGTTTGTATGAAGAAAAGACACCAGGCATAATGGAGGTGTGCTCACAGAGATATGCAGGTGGGGAAGGATGAAAATTACGTTAACTAATGCAACTTGAATATGAAAAGGGTGAACCCGTACTGCTTGGGAATCGATATACCTCCTTCCCTTAAGAAATATTACTCTGCTTTTCCTAAGGACTACCTTTTATTTAATATTTGATTAATCTAGCTTCTGCCTCCCATGTTTATGACCAGGGGGATTTTGTCTAAATATATATTTTTTCTACTAACAAAAGCAGTCCCTTCCAGGCAGTTCATATATTTTACAGTTCTGCACAATTCATTCAGGTAAATGGTATGTTAACAGAGTTTTCATGTAAAGGAAATGGGATGCAGATTACAGTTGTTACTCAGACATGGCAGATTCTGCTCAAGCAGAGGGGACAACAAAGGTAAAAGGATTCCAACAGCTGTTGCTCTACCCATTCCCCTAGATAGAGTTCAAGAGCACAATATTTTATGGTTCTTTTAAAGCTTCTAATCTCACAATCAAGATGAAATCCCCTATTTCTTCTGCTATAAACTCTGAGTGATAAAAAATTAAGACAGCCTCCCAGAGTCATTCTAACTGGCATTTAACATCAAAGAACCTTGGAGTTTCTGGTAGAAGTGAATTTATACCATTTTATCACGTAAAAATGGAACTCTGGATGTTTTTATGAACTTTGAACTGAACACTCATAAAACACTGACCCCTTGAATGAAGTGCTATAGGAAGCATAAAAAATGAATTGATTACCTAATCATGCGACTCATACTGGAAACTGGATTAGCAACAAACGGTAAGAACCCTGTATGGTGAAGGTCAGTCCAAACCTGAAGTGAAAAAGAAGTACAGGTATGTTTTCTTGTACACAAAAAATTCCTCACTTTCAAGAAAGTCAGACGTTTATTCCCGTACCTTGGCTGGCATCCGAGAAGCAAGTACAGTCAAACAATTGACACAGGATGCAATAACATCCACAGGGGGAGAGATCACAGTTGTTAACCTACAAAACAGATAACCAATATCACACATAAAACTTCTAGAACAAACTGGCTGGGCCTACACCTAATTTTTTTAGTGGTGCACAAGAAGTAAGGAGTGTGATTTGTCTATCAGAATAGTTAGATTTGTACAACCCCAATGTAAGCACAATAGCATCAGGATAATGGCACTTAATACTAAAATGATTTACACCGCTTCCCTGCAGGTGTAGCTATATTAGTATAAGATGGCTTTCTATTAATAAAATTGCATCCACTTCAGTTTATACCACTACCACCACATTAAAGCACTCAACAGCCATGAAGAGGCAAAGATATTTGGTCTGAGCACAGACTTGGATATGGAATCTCCTGAATTCTGTGCTACCTTGAGCAAAATTTGCCATTGATTTGCTTCTTGTGACTTAACTGCCATTCAGCTACTTACCTTTGCAACAGCATGTAGATCCGCGATGTGATTGGGAGAAGACAGTCCGCTACTGACACATCAGTACTGATGACCTTGTGTACCAGGTCAATGACTGGCTTGACCCTCTGGCAATGCTGAATCACATCTGGATAAAAAAAACAAAACAAAAC